CACCACTAAGCTAAATCCCCAGCCCTGAGAAGTCCAGTTTTCCCTAATAACAGCTGGGAAACGGTTTCATAGGTTAGAACAGATGCAGGGAGTTCAGACTTGGTGTGGTGTCCGTTCTTCCTCTGTGCGGGCATGAGCGTGCGTGTGTTCCAGGCACCCGCTGTGCATGGGCACCTTGTCCTGCCAGCCAGCTTGTGTTCTGGGCCTCTGGCCCGCGCCTGTCCCCGACACTGTGGTACCTGAGAGCACTGCTGCGTGCAGATCCTGCAGTCACAGCCGGGGAGCACGCCCCGACAGCGTGAGTGTAAGGCAGGGTGGGCCCTGGGCTTCTCGTAGACTGAAGACAAGTGCAGGCATCTCCTGCAGGGCCGCCTGAACACACAGGCTGTTTCTACTGTGCGTGGTGCTGGCAAGTCACTTCGTGTCTCTGGAGTGGATTTTCATAGGTGACGCGCAGTGTCTGGGCGAGGCTGGACCCGGAGGGCAGAGGAAGGCACAGCAGCCCGAACGTCCCGAGCCAGCGTCCTGGGCACAGGGAGCTCCCGGAGCCAGGGAGGCGTTGTCAAAAGCAGCAGAAGATTCTCAGGCCCATCTGTGCCGTTGGCCTTGTTTCTTGGCGAAGAGACTGAGGCTGCTGTGTCTTTGTACTCAGCCTGTGCCGCCTCTGTGGGGGCTGCTTGTTTAATGAGGCAGAGGGAAGCTGGTGTGATTCGTTGTCCTGCCTCTGAACCTGCAGCGTTTCCCCACCTAAGATGGCGCGCAGAGGAGAGGAAAAGCCAGGCCCGCTGCAGGAGTGTGGGGATGGAGACAGGCACAAGAAAGGACTGTGCCAAGGGCAGAAGAGCTCTGGCACAGCCCCTGGGGAGGGCGCAGGGTGACGCCTGCTCCGGCCACTGCAGGGAGCACACGGCCACCGTCACTGTCCCCGTGCTCACAGCGAGGCACGGAGGGAACATGGCTTCCTCCTCTGCCATCTGTAAGGTCGTCCGCTCCAGTGTGCACAAGTAGATCGATCTCCAGGTGTAAGATGAGGAGCTGGAGTCCTTCAGAGGTGCTGGTATGCGCTACAGATGAGAACGTTTCTCTTTTTTTTTTTTTTGGTTGTCATTCTTTCAGGGTGTTTTGTATTGTTTTGTTTTGCTTTTGGTACAGGGGGTGGAACCCAGGGCCTCACGCGTGTGAAGCTAGCACTTTACCACTGTGCTACATTCCCAGCCCTTCCTCAGGCTTTTGAATGAACCTAACAGAATTTTACCATTTTCAGAGCCAGGGATGCAGCTCAGTGGCGCAGTGCCTACCTCACCAAGGTCCTGAGTTCAATCCCGATACCAAAAATATATATATATATATACCAATTTTAAATATTTTCAAGTATAGAATTCGGTGGCACTGTACATATTGAGTGTCCAAGGATTAGCAACAACCATCACCACTATTTCCAAAACTTCATCCCAGCCTAAAACTCTGTACCCGTTAAATCCCTTCCCACCCCCCAAACCCTCCCTGTTCTGTTTGTCTCTGTGGCCCCGACTATCCCAGGCGCCCCGCCTGAGTCAGAAGCGTGTGGGTCTGGCCTGCTGGGCGCAGTCCGATGTGCTCGGGGCCGTCCCTGTTGCAGCGTGTGCCAGACTTCCTCCGTTTTATGGCCGCCTGATCCGCTGTGTGAACGGCCCACGTTGTGTTCCCCGCTCGCCTGCTGATGGACACACGGATTCCTTCCACCTTTCAGCCACCGTGAATGCTGCTGCCAAGAACGTGTGTGTACAAGTACCGGCGTCTGCTTTCACTGCTGAGTGTTTTCCCGGAGCACAGTGCTGGGTCGTTCGTGACTCTGTGTTTGACTTTTTTCTTTGAAACAGAGTCCTGGCCTCTCAAATGCTGCCAGGGCTGTTGGCTTGTGTTTAACTCTCTGAGGAGCTGTCGATCTGTGTCCCGGCAGCAGTGCTTGAGGGCTCCAATCTGCATATCCTCACCAACACTTTTTATTTTGTTTTATTTGATAAGAGCTGTTGCTCTTATTTCTGGCCCATACTTAATACACAGAATTTTAGCCTCGAACATTGCCCTTTTCCCAAATCGCCACACTGGCATGGAAAAGTAAGAAGCCATCCCTGGGGTCTGCTTAGACGTCGGCCCACAGCCCTTTGCCAGTCGGGCTCCGGTCAGGGATATGACTTTGGCCTGCTGAGCAGATGGAAGTGGAGGTAAAGCCCCAGCCACAGCGCTTTCCCAGGACTGATGCCTTTGTTTTCCGCTTATCCTCCTCCTGCCCAGGGCAGAACCGCTCCCACCTGTAGCCTCCCTGTCCTGCCCCGGGAACAGGGAGGCTCCCTCACAATGACTTTGGGGAGCCTAGGAGGAGAGCCTGACACTACACCACTGGCTTCCAGTCACCCACCGATGTCCTCTGGCCGCTTAGGACTTGGCCAGCCTGTGAGGTGTTGGTTCTTCCCAGGCCTGGCCCAGGACTAAGCTGGCAGCACTGTGACTGCAGCCCTGCTCCTAGGCAACTGGGCCTTCCTGGTGCTGCTGTGTCTGATCCCATGGGGAAATAGGCTGCTGGCCAGGGGCCTCAGCTCGTCTTGAGTAAGGACTTCAGCTGCCACCCAACTGCTCTGAGATGGACATGTGAGGCAGACCCAGGGTGCGAGCCTGGCAGGTTTGGTTTTAAAGGCTGGAAATCCTGCTGGCACTTCCTATCTGAAGCTCATCCTCTTTCCTGCTCTGTAGAGCCACGCACTAGATCTGGGTATCCAGATGTGGCAGAAGCCGGCCATTCCCAAAACGGCCCTGAGATGCCTTTAGTCCAGGGCAGCCGAGACTCAGGAATTTCCCTCTTGCGTCTAGGTCCAGTGTTGTTTGCCCAGGTGGAGGACGTAGCCCGGGTACTGTTCCCTTTCAGAGGGAGTCTGGGCCTTCTCAAGTGACCCTCCGTGTGCTGAGCCTGGGAATTTCTGATAGGCACAGTATTTACCCTGAGATCTCCTTTGAGCGGCTGGAAATGAGAAGATCCTCTGCAGATCGGAAGAGGGAGCCTTCGGGCCCTGGAGCTCCCTCTGGCCACAAGCTCAGCAAGCGCTGGCAGGACTGACCGTTTCTGCCAGCTGGGTGCACATCTCCTTTTCCTTGACTTACAGAGCAGTGTGGGGATAGCGGCCACCGAGAGTCTGAGAGCCCCTTAACCTAGAAATGCACACAAGCACGTGCCCCCCAACCCCGGGAGCAGCTCTGCAGGGCCGCGGGGTCCCAGGGTCACCGGCTGTCTGGTCAGCGGTCCTTTGCTCTGTGCTTGAGAACCGCACCTGTGAATCCGTGGGGCCCTTAGTGTGGAAAGCACTGACTTCTAGAAATGCGAGGCTCCACAGGGAATGGGCAGCCGGCAGTGGGACGCACAGTGCAGGTTTCTCGTCGGCAGTGTAGGGCCTGCAGCTCACTCAGTGCCCGTGGCTACCCAGTGAGCCCAGCACCGCCGGCCACAGCTGCAGGCAGAGACACTGGGGCCCAAGCGGCAGCGCCTCTCTTTGCCTCTGTACTGCCAGCCGGCCATCAGCTCAAGAGAGGAAAGGAGCCACCGCCCCATGGCAGTAACCGCGCTGGTCCCCCCTGCACAGGCTCCTGGGGCTGCCCCAGCACATGAGATGCTTAGAGAGGGAAGCGAGATGCAGATCGGTCGTCGGCATAGACCCAGCTTCTGAAAGGTTCTGTCAGTGTGCCGGGGCCGCCTTTTACACTGCCACTGCCTCAGTGAGTCCCTGCTCCCGGGTCACTGCAGCCTGTCTGACCGTTGCCTAGAACAGTCGAGTGTGCTTTGTTTTCAGTGTTTGAGGTTCCACAACCAGGCCTAGAGCAGCGCAGATTCTCCTCCTGGCCTAGACCGGCAGCCAGTGGCTGGCTGCTCCAGTCCTGGGCATATGCAGCAGGATGGAGAGAGGACTCCCTCGTTGTGCCCTGAGATCACCCAGGGCGGTGCGCACAGCCGGCCTCAGTGCCATTGTTGAGCGGGAGCTGCCTGTAAGATGCGCGTATACCTGCTGCCTATCTGCACTGTGCCAAGAAAGACCTCTTCCTGGTGAGTCCCCCATCCTGCTCTCTGCCGCCTGGCCACGGAGGTGGGTTTTCCGGTCTCCGCGAGTGAGAGGAGGAGCTGTCCTCATGCTTAGATGAGACGTCCCACCCTGCACACAGGCCATGTGGCACTGCTGAAGGGCACAGGAGTGCTGCCCAGACTCCTCTTCCTTAGAGCAGCCTGGTGTACGGGGTAAGCTCCTGATGTCCCAGCTGGGCTGAGGTCCTGCCCCAAGCAGTGGCGTGCGTGTGCATGTGTGCGTGTGTGTGTGTGTGTGTGTGTGCGCGCGCGCGTGTGCCTGTGCGCACCGTGCAGCAGCTGGCAGGTAACAGCTGAGCAGGATTAAGAGTTGCACTTCTCAGGGCACCAGCAGGGCAGACCCGTGGGCACCGTGCTCTGCTGCCAGCTTTGCCCATTGTCTTTGGGCCCGAAGCTACTTTCTCCATCCTGTTTGCTCTGACCTTCCAGGAAAATTCCGTTCCTGGAAGGGCCCAAGAAAAGCTCTGTGTGCAGGGCGAAGGTGCAGATCATCAGGCACAGAGCAAGCCCTGGTCCCAGGCCGGATGCAGAATTTGCTGTGAGCCCTGGGACCCGGGGCCACCTGCCCGCAGCCTGGCCCGTCTCCCCCGAGCCCGTGCAGCTGCAGGCTGCGTGCCCCGCCCTGCTCACGTCACCGCACCAAGCCTCCCTGTACAGAGCAAGACTGCCTGTCCTTGGAGGGCCCCGACGCTGTCGTCTGTCTCACAGGAGACCCTGGCGGAGGTCTGGGCAGGCGAAAAGCCTTCCTGTTTGTTCTCTTAATTAACACACTCATTTCTGGCTCAGCCCTCTGTCCTTGGCAGTGACCCCTGGCCCCGAGGGCACGCTGCCTCCAGTGGGGCTTGCACAACCTGCATGTTGCGGCCACTCAGCCTGCCCTGACTCAGCACAAACTTCCTCATTCTCAGTCCTTCCAGAACATTCTGACCTTGGCTACCGCGGGTGCTATTGGGAGCAGCAGCCTTCACTGTGGAGGGAAGCTCAGGCTGTGTCTCTGAGCTCCACAGCCGCACAAGCCCTGGGTCCTCTGCCATGAGGTATGGTGCTGCCAGCAGCAGGGGCCAGGCAGGGGCCGAGGAACGGGCACACCAGGCAGGCAGACAAGTGCAGGCCCTCCGGCTCCTCAGGAATCTACATGTGCTCAGAAGGCGGTGGGTAAGTTCTCCATGGTACCAGGCTCTGAGCAATGCCCCGTGCGACGGCAGAGCTTTTCTCATGACTCCAGACCTGCGCCCTGCCACGGTCCCCTTCTCACGCTGGTGCAGGTCCTGAGGTCCCGCCCAGAGCACGCCGGGAGAGACTGGGAGTGGGGTGTTGGCCGAACCCCTTCTGGGAGGGCCACACGTTCCCGCAGTGCTTCTGGTCACTGTGGGCCCCCTCCCTCCTGGTGTGCTGGCTGGAAGGGCAGGGCTGTGACGCGGACAGAAGCGGGAGTCGCAGCCCAGACCCATGGTCACTTCCAGAACAGAGGTGGGCCCGGCACGTGCTACATGTCTTCTGCCCAAGTTTTTATACTTTTTCCCCGGTCCTGTTTACTTTGGACTGCTGTTAAATTCCAAGCATATCCTGAGCACAAGAGAGGTGGGAATTCGGGCTCCAGCCAGGGGCCTGCGTCGGAGCCTCCTGCCCCAGCACCCCTGCTCCTTGTCTGGCACCTCCAGTGTGGCCCTGTCTGTGGTTCCCCCACCAGCCCAGCCTACTCTGAGGTCCCCCCAGAGTGCCAGCGTCCGGCTTCTCAGGTGCCGGCCTGAGCCCTGCGCTCCTCTGCTCTGCGCCTCTACTCTGGCCGCTGCCTGTGCAGGTGTAGCCTGCAGCGCCTGCTGTCCTCTCCTGGAAGCTCCGGGCCACACCCCCACAGGCGGGCCCTGAAGGCGGCTGGAGCCGGGCACAGCCTCAGAAGGTCCCTGAAGGCAGAGCCTCAGCTGTCCATGGAAGTGGCCAACTCACTTTCAGCCTGGCATGGCGGAGCACACCTGTGATCCCCATATTCGGGAGGCTGAAGCAGGAAGATTGCCATGAATCCAAGGCCAGCCTGGGCTACACAGCGAGACCGTGTGTCAAAGCATCTTTGGGGGCAGGACCCCTTCCCTCTGGCCCCGTGACCCCTCTCCCTCCCTGGAATGCTTCAGCACAGCAGAGCTTCCCACTTGGAGCCCTGCCTTGGGCTCAGGCAGCCCAGGAGCTCTTCCTACGTGGCTGCCTGAAGTATGTGCCCTGACCACTCAGCACTTCCTGCACACTTTATGCTGAAGACGGGATAAAGTGCCAGTGGTGAGGATGAAGGGATGTGAGCGAGCCAGCGAGCAGTTGTTTGTGCAGCCAGGTGCCCAGCTCTTCCCAGGCCGGGCACAGCCAAGGGTGACTCACTGGTGTCAGAGCCCCGTGTTCTGGCCCCGGGCCCGGCCCTGAAGATGGGCGATCTGGAAATCAGGACGTGGGGCTCATGTCGGTCACAAGGGCACCTGTTCTGTAAGAGCTCATCGAGGACACCTGCCAGGCTGGTGTCACCTGGACTGGTGCATGTGTTGAGCCTCCCCCAGGTTTCAGGGCAAGCACTCAGAAATTGCTGTTTCAAGGGTGAGGAAGAGTGGGCTGGGCTCACACTGGGCATTGGACAGTAGGCCCTCGGGCTGGGCGGGAGCAGATGGGAGAGGACGTCTGTACTAGATCCATACAGGGTTCTGCCAGGGGAATGGGGTGACAGAAGGTGAATTCTGGGAAGAGGGTGGGACGTGCACCTTTGGGATGTCCCGGGGAGAGCCTGGCATGGCCTCTTGGTTTCTGTCTCACCCTCTATAGGCCCTGTCTCCGTGTCCTCGGTGTCTGGACCTGTAAACACCATTCCCAGAAGGCTGCAGAAGTAGGAGGGCAGTGGGGCCTCCAGAGGGTCCCTGTCCCCCGACACCTCATCTCCTCCCAGGGTCTGGCTTTTCTGTCCGGATGCCCGGCTCCCTGAGGCTGTGTTTGGTCTCTGTTGGTCACCAGCTTGGAGGACTTGCCACACCAGAAGATGCATTCCAGGCCACAGGGCCCCAAGTGGTGGAGGAATGGGGTCCCAGGGCTCTTGCTCCAGAAGTTCGGGGTCACCCAGACCAGCTTCCCAACCCTGCCCTTAAGCTGGCACCTGGGAAGCTGTGGGCATGGCTCCCTGGGGGGGGGCACAGTAGGGAGGACACAAACAGGCACACAGTCACCTTGCTTGGAAAAAAATCCCCTTGGCATGGCTGTCGATCAGTATGGTGGAGAAGAGAGGTGTGGGTGCCCCACTATGCGTGTGAGGTGCAGGCTGCTGCTGGGGAGGGCACCCCAGGGCCACGGAGTGTGGGGAGCTCCAGGGCACAGTGGGGAGCTGGCGCCCCCGGAACCCCTGCTGTGTGCACAGATGTCATGTGTGTCACACGCAGAGGTGTGTGCCTCGTGTGTATGGGCGGCCTGTGCCTGCGAGTGTGGGCAGGTGTACGTGTGCGTGCAGGGGAGTGGGCGCGCATGCGTGAGAGGATGGGCCCTGGTCCTGTCAGCCTGGCTTGGGAGAGCATCAGCCTGACCTGAGCCGCACCCTGGCCTTCCTTCTAGGAAGTCAGTCACCCCTCCTGAAAACCCCGACTTCCTGCTGGTCCCCACCATCATGTTTGCCTGGACACCCAGCCTGGTGCTGGCCCAGACCCTGGACTGTGGCTGGAGGTGGCTGCTCCATCTTGGGGGACGTCGGGCAGCCTCCCGGCCCTGAGCACAGCGGCATCGTACACAGCTAGTGCTGGCTGGCCAGCCATGGTGTGCCCGGGGGCAGGAGTCTGAAGTCACAGCAAGAAGGTGGGCTGGGAGCGCGGCTAGAACATATGCCGAGGCTGGGCGGCCTCAGTGGTCAGACCCACCGGACGTGCAGAGGGCATCCCTTTACAGGAAGCCGATGGATTGCCAGGTGCCTCCTGGCCTTGTGCACTCGTACATGCAGCCCCCACCATGGCCACAGCCGTTTGGGTCCCCTTCCGTTCCTCCTGTCTTACCAAACCCTCCCCTTCCCACACCATCATCTTCTACCCAGCATCCACCTGGATCCTTGGAAAGTTCAGATCAGTCTACACCACATTTCCTCACTTCCCATTCCCCAGTGGCCCTCTTCTCTGGAACAGGTGTGCACACACACACACACCCCTGCTCCTGTCCTGGACTCCTGCTGAGTTCTGACCAACATGGGGCCGGCTGACACGGTTCGTGCCAAGTACAGCACCCAGTGGTGCAGGCAGGGCACACCGGGGGACGAGCGGCCAGTGGGTGATGTGTACCTGGGTGGGGAGCTCCGTGACCACCGAGGACCCCGCCTGCCAGCTCCCTCCCTGAGCCTGTGTGGGCGGTAACGGGCACCCCTGGGTGGAGCCCACACGGACTCCCTCAGACTGACCGGCGCATGGCTGGCTCCTTTCCCTGCTGCCGGGAGCCTCCCCAGGGCCCCGCAGCTTCTCTGCCTTACATTTTGCACACACCCTTTGGACCTGTGTCATCCCAGTGCCCTGCGAGGCTAAGGCAGGAGCACTGGGAGCTTGGGCCAAGCCTGGGCAAGAAGTTACTCAGTGAGACCCCGTCTCAAAAACAAACAAAAAGGCTGGGGCTGTAGCGCGGTGCAGAGGCGCTAGATTTGACTCCCAGTAGAGGAAATGGGGGGTGGGGCTGGTAAAGCACAGCTCAGGCCTCCCATCCTGAACCCTTCTCCTGCCTGCCTTGGGGCTGGGGCCGCAGAAGAGCCCAGGACGCCCCCGCCTCCTCACTGTGGCCCCAGATGGGCTCTGGTCCTGCTGGAGGGCACCTCGAGGCTGGCACCTCGTGCGGATGGCACCCTCCCTCCTATGTCAGTCTCCGACGATGCCACGGCCAGATGAGCCAGAGAGCTCTGCAGCTCCCCTGGAAGGCGGACCCCAGATGGGGACGCCCGCTCTTCTGTGCAAGGCCCGGGGTGTCCAGATCCCTGCCCTCGGGCCTGCACCCGGCCTGGCCCAGCCATGGCCCCTGCCTCTGCAGAGTGACTTGGGGGCCGCTGATCTGGGCCAGTGGTGGGCGTGGGCACCAGGCAGCAGAGGAGGCAAGGCAGGTGACAAGCTGGTGTGCAAGGGACGGGAGGGATGGACGGAGTGAGGCGAGCCCTGGTGAGAGGAACTTACGGCCTCTCTGGCAGATACATGGGGAGGACAGTGCCTGCCCCGTGCGTGGACGCAAGGCTTCCTGCTCCTAAAACTCGGGCCACCACCACTTCCTGAGCAAACCCAGCAGAGTCCCTGCACCTTGCCCCAGGGGTCTCAGGGTAACGGCTCTGCTAGGGAATAAGAGGGGTGCTGGACCCACTGTTTGCCGAGGGGCCTGGCAGAGCACAGCCCCCCGCAGGGACGCATGGGGGAGGCTGGGAAGAGGCCTCCTCATCCTGCTCAGGCTCCCAGATCTTCCCACACAGGGCAGATGTCTCCGGAGACAGACAGAGAAGCCAACCAGAACGTTCAAGTGCTGTGAGCCGGCCTTGGTGGGCCGGAGTGTTAATCACCGCACCGTCATCCTCTCCAGGAGGCTGGGCGAAGGAAGTGAGTCAGTAGGAACGAGCCCCACGGCAGTGCTTCGGGCGTAGGAGTGAGCAGTTGCGTCCCTGTCTCCGTCCTCACTGCCTTGCTCCCACCCGCACATCGCGGGCCTCCAGGGCTCACCTGCTGTCAGCGAGTCTGTGGTTGGCCCCACACCAGGTGCTGGCTGGAAGCCAGGCGGCATGTGGGGGACCTGAAATCCAAATGCCCCCTGGCTCTCAGACCCAGTCGGGATGGGGAGAGAGGCAGAAAGGCCCCCGGGGCGGGTCACACGCCAGCTGCCTGTGGGTCACACTCTTCCCCCAGAGGTCCAGGCAGCTTCATGCCGGGGAACAGCAGAATTCCGCCCTCAGACCTGGGGCAGCAAGCGGGTGGTGTTGTCTCTGCGGCCCAGGTTTCTGCACCCACCGAGCTCGGGTGCCTTGCTCAGGCCAGCTCAGGGACCACTGGGGAAAACCTCTCAGGGGCCAGCGCAGGCCCCGAAGGCAGATGTCCAGGTCAGACTGCTCCCTGACGGCTCCTTCCGTGCTGCGGGGCTGCGGTGGAGCCCCAGGCCTCCTGTGGGCCAGGCTCTCTCCTTACCCTGTCACATGCCTTGGTTTGGGGTTCACTGTTGCTGGAGGGCTATGTGGACCCCGGTGAGGACAGCAGCCCCTGGCAGTCCTCGGGCACCCAAGCCACTGTGCCTTGGATTCAGCATAGCAGGTTGGGAACCATTGCGCGACCCTGGGTGCTAGTGGGTGTGCCTGAGTCCCAGGCATGTGGAGGTCGGCACTCCTGCCTTGCATGCTTGGGGCAGGGACAGGGGTCCCCCGGGACTCCCTGTGGATGACACTCACCCCTTTCACCTCCTACCTAGGACGCGGTTCACCAATCCCCCAAAGGGACCTGCAGACCACTATGCCGGCACAGAGTTCCGGTGCCACCCGGGCTGGCCCTGTCCTCTCAGGTGTGCTGCAGCAGGTGGGCGGGATCGGGGCCCAGGCCTGTCTGGCCGGGCCGGTCCACGGCCTCTGCTCAGCAGCGGTGTCTTCAGGAGGACCCTGCTGCACTCACAGCGGCCGCGCGTGTCATCTCTCTGGTTCTCCGTGTCTGTCCATGACACGTCCTGTGCCGCCCGGGGCACCCGTGGACGTCTGCTGTCCGTGTCATGGCTGAGGACGGGGCTGAAACTTCCTGCCCCGGGGTAGCTCCCACCTCGCAGGGCCAGCCTCCTCGTGGCTGCGTCCTTGTGGCCAGCCCAGCTCCGTGACCCTGTCATGGCTGAGGCAAGAGGACCACAGCAAGCACGGGGCCAGCCGGGGCTACCTAGCAAGACTCCGACTCAAGAACAACGGCAAAAAACAGGTCTATCAAAACCACCTAGAAGAAGTGTGAAGGACAAGGCCGCGGACTGGAGAGGCGTGTTTGCAATGCCCAGAGTAGACAGTATAATTACATAGAAAATGAAGATTTCCCACAAATTGGCAAGAAAAAGAGCAGCGGTGGCCCCTGGAGAAAGGGACGCGGGTCCACAGGTAGGCGTTGGATGGTTTGGCCACCACACATACCTGAGATGGTCGGGTGTCGGGCACACACAGGGTGCACAAATCTGGCTGTAGTGGGGACTGCATGCCCCCCAGACTCACAGAAATAGGTCCGGCATCCTGACCAGGAGAGGGGTGTCTCGCCTCATGCCCCTGGGGCACTGTGGGCTAAACCCCGAGATCTGTCCCACACTCTCCTGAGGTTTAAACACACAGGTGTGCCCCTTGCCAAGCAGGCACCTTCCTGGGGGACCAGGACAAGTGTGTTTGCTCAGATGTCCCAGCAGGCCAGACATAGCTCTGTGCCTGTCACCAAAGAGGAGCTGGGTTCTCAGGCAGCCACGGGCAGGCACCCACTGTGGCTTCAAACACGGGTGACCACAGCTGCACAGAGCCACTCTGGTGTTGCCTAGTGACTCAAGGCCAAGTGGGGCAAGCCCTGGAAGATACACAGTGATGTCCTGCTCCCTACAGATCCAAACCAGGCAAGCCAGGCACCGGAGCACACACCTGTGATCCCAGCTCTCAGGAGGCTGAGGCAGGAGGATCACCATGAGTTTGAGGCCAGCCTGAGGCTACATAATTGAAGGCCACTGAGGTACATAGAAAGACCCTGCCTCAAAAACCCAAACAACAGCAAGACAAAAAACGCAGGCAAAGCTAGACACATGTACATACTTTAGAATGTTGGACAAGAAAAGAAAGCTAAGGCTCATGGAGGAAGGCAGCAGAGAGGCCAGTGTGCTAGGTGGGAGCAGAGGAGCTCTTTGCAGTTGGCCTGGGGTTGGTGGGGCAGGTGTCCCGGCAGGCTGTGCAGGTGGCCCTGGATTCCAGGCCCCTTCCCCAGTCCCAGCCAGGTCCGGCCAGGCGGGAGAACAGTGGCACAAGGATGGGATGACTTGAACTCAGAGACCAGAAAACCCACAGAAATAAGGCAGCACCTTCTGGCCTTCCCAGACTAAGCTGGACCTTTAGAGTTGGTCGTTTGGCAGGAGCTGATGAGGAAAAGGGATCTCAGGCCAGGGGCTGGGTGCAGCAGGTACCCAGAGGCACAGTTGGGGTGCAGGAGGCTGGGAGTGGGTGCCCGTGAGCCCTGAGCTCCTGGAGCCCTGCTGGGCCGGGCCCACCTCTGCTTTGTGGCTGGCAGCTGGGGGCTTCCAAGGGAAGGGGCCACATCCTTCAAGTCACAGGACACCGCCAGGGAAAGTTTCCTTCCCTGGGAGGGCTGCCAGCCCGGGCTGACACCACCAGCCCACTCAGGCCAGATATAAGTCCGGGCCTCATCCTCCCTGTGTCCCCACACCTGCCCTCACCCTGAGGCCAAAGCAGATACAGGCTCTGTGTGCACCTGTAGGTGGCCAGGGTCACCCCTCAGAGACCAGCACGGTCCAGGGAGGAGGAGGAGCCGGCGCGCCAGGGCTGGGAGCTGAACTCCGGGCAGTCAGGCAGCCAGTGGCACTGAGGCAGTGGGGGAAGGATCAGAGGGACCAGGAGTTGCCACTTCTGTCCCCCAAGGTGACCTTGAGCACAAGGCCTGTGTGGGAAGGGTCTGCTTTCAACCCTAACAGCCCGTGACATCGCCTGCCCTTGGGGTGCTGCCCCCAGCTGGGTGCACTGGTCCCTGGGACTGGCCTGGCTCGGCCTCCTGCACTTGACCTTGAGGAGGTGGGACAAGCAGCTGGGTCCCCAGGGAGCCACTGCCCGGAGCAGATTCTGCACTCAGGCCTTGACCAGGCTTCCTGGAACTGGCCTGGGGAGGGGCTCCAGCCAGGGCAGCAGCCGTGTCTGTCCCCAGGAGATGCCTGGCTTCCAGTACTACAGGCCATCGTGGTTTCTGAGCATGGGTTTTGAAAGGCAGGATCGAATCCAGGCCCCGACTGGCTGCCACTGGCCAGCGCTCAACTTGGGGCAAATGGGACCCCGGGCTATGAGAAGGCGAGGAGCACACAGCCCAGAGGACACCAGCGAGGAGTCTCGTGCCCCAGAGGCTGCCCTGTCTGCTCCGGGTGACCTCGGTGCTTTGTGCTCGGGCTGCTGCTGGTGCCCCGTCCCCCGAGGCTCACTGTTCTGTGTCACCAGGCTGGCCAGGGGTCCCTGGCAGCTGCAGGCTCTCATGAGTGACAGAGAGAGCTGGGGACTCTGGGGGTCTCGGACAGCAGTCCTACAGACTCCACCTCTCCCCCAGCAGCCGTGCTTCTGTCCGGAGCAGCCCGCCCAGCCGCTTCCCTTTTCTCATTCTGTCATTGTGCTGGGCCCTGGGGTGGGCACCCGGCGCTGGGGTGGGACAGGCCGGCTGGGATAAGGAACGGATGAGTCACACAGCAACACTTCGGCCCAGAGAGAGCCATAGAGGGGACAGGGGAGCACCAGCCCGGGGACAGGCCCAGCGTGGTGCCTGCGAGGGCCTGAGGCAGGCACCAGGACAGGTGCTGAAGGCGTAGGCAGAGTGGCAGGGTTAGCACGCTGGGCTGGGCTGTGGGGTCGGAGCTTGCTGCTGCAGGCAGAGCCTAGACTGCCTGGTCCCTCCCATGGGCAGACTGCTTGGGTGATGGGAACCGGTGGCCAATGAAGGTGGCCTTGTCACCCACACTCTGGCTGGGAAGCTTCCAGGAACAGAGACACAACTGGTTCACGATGCAGCCCAGTGGAGTAGGAAGGTGGGTGGGGCTGCCCGGGTGAAGACACCAGGAGCTGTGCTCTGGGGCACAGGGCAGGGTGGGCAGTGCCCTCTGACCCCTGTGCCTCTTGCTAGCTTTAGGGTACTGTTGCTCCCCGCCCCAGCCTGGATCTGAGCTGTTTCCAAAGCCAGGAATGTTCATCCTTGCAGGAGGCCCAGGGGAGGTTGTGAGGAGGGGGCCCCCAAGACCCAAGGCATAGTGGGGAGGCCAGGGTGAGCGGTACCTGGTGTGGCAGCTCTCTGAGGCAGGAGGGGAGGCCCACAGAGGGTGTGCAACACACAGGCGGTGCATGTGCTGCAGGACGGGCTGGTGGTACCAGAGTGTCAGAGTACACAGCACGTGTTTACATTTTTAAATTGTTACCGTAAAAGTCACACAGCCATTCACCCCCAGAATACTCCCCAGAGCTCCAAACACACTCATACCCCCATTCTTGCCACTTTCTGAAACAGCTCTGGAAGTCTTTTGCACCTTCACAAGGTGTAATCAACAATACAGTGACTGCTGCTGCCCAGGGTCCCCCAAAAGAAAGGCAGCTCATGAGAACACAACGCTGTGTGTTCATCCACCTTGGTCACCGGACCTGGCACCGTGTGACCCCAGGCTCCTCCCCAAAGTCAAAATGACCATGACGGAAACATTTTGTATCCATTCAGGACCTTGAGGCAGCCAGGACGGCGCAGCTAAAGACACCCAGGAAAGAGGGCTCCAGAGCCGCTGCAGGAGGGGCTGGGACGTGGGAGGAGGGTGTTTGAAGCAAAGGGGAGGATTTTCAGGGGTTTCCATGGTGATGTGTGCCCTTTACTATAATACAGATTAAATGTTCAGGGTGTAGTTTCCAGTCACACCTCGTTTATGGGAACTTGTGCCTGTGCCTACCCTGCTGAAGTAAACCGCACCCACCCAGGACCCTCTCCCTGCCTGGCACGGCTATGGCACACAGGCAGGGTGAGCTGCTCAAGGCCAAGGAGCTTGGGGCAGAGCAGCCCCTCCTCCCGGCGGGTGGCAAAGCCTGCACACGCATCCCACAGAGCATCTGTCAGGGCCTGAAGGGCTTGGACCTGCCCAACAGCCCCAGCAGCCTGGGCACCGCCGGGAAAGTTTTCATCTTATGCGGTCTCGTACAGAGCAACAAAGAGAGCACACAGCTGGAGAAAGATCCCCTTCCTCTGTCCACTGCAGAGGACGTAGACTGGCGGCCAGGTATTGTGACAAGGGAGTAACAGACGCCTGCTGTGTGCTCGGCCTCTGGTCCTGTGGCGGGGGTGCTATGCAGGGGGGTCCTCGGCTGGTGACGGCCCCAAGCTGGGCGCGCAAGGCTGCCCACCCGGAGGTGGTGAACTGATGGCCTCTTTGGGAGGAGGCACCCTCCGGACGGCCCCAGACAGCCTTCGATCCAGGCAGCACCGGTGCCGCCAGTGTGGCCACTGGGGCGGGCGGCCTTGGCCCTGGTGGCAGGGGGTGCAGTTGGACTGCTGCTGGGGTCAGGACCCCGCCAATGGCTGTCCCTGGGATGGCCCTGCTTCCCTTCTGCCCCTGTGGCACAGTGTTCCTATCCCCACCTGCCCCGGGCCTGGCGGGGTGGCTGAGGCCAAAGCGCAGCACAGGACAGGGGTGAGCAGCAGGTGTGCGCTGCAGCAGATGGTGCTGGGCCTGGACCCTGTACGCTCACTTCCAGGGCGTCCAGGCCACTCTGACCACAGGGTGCTCGCCGTGGCCCTGCTCGTGACTCCAGGGTGGGCCCTGCCTCCTGCACCACCAGACCTTTCTGGGTTTTCCTTCACCCCATATGAAGTTCACCATCACAGCTAATTTCACGTGCACAGTTCTGGTGTGGACCTAGCAGTGGAATGGCTGGAGCACGAGGTAGCTCTGCGTTTTGCTTTTTTGTGCCTTTATTCCATTTTCTTTTCTTTTTTTGAGACAGGGTCTCATTGTGTAGCCCAGGCTGGCGATCCTCCTGCCTCAGCCTCTGGAGTGCTGGGACTACAGGCGTGTACCACCACACCCAGCTGTTTCGCTTTTTTTTTTTTTTTTTTTGTACCGAGGATTGAGCTCAGACTCTTGTGCTTGTGAGGCAGGAGGCAGAACCACTGAGCCAAGTCCCCCGCCCCAGTGTTTCACTTTTTGAGGTTGCCCAGCTATTTTCCACAGAGGCTGCACCATTTTCCAACTGTGCCCACCGTGTGCAAGGGTCAGCTTTCTCCACGCCTTCTTCCACGCCCTTCCCTTCTGGTGTTCTGCCGTGACCGCCCTGTGTGTGTGAGATGATGCTGTGACATCCCATTGTGATTCAGTTCGCGTTTCCCTAACACGTCTTTTCACTCGTATGTCTTTGGAGAAATGTTTGTTCAAGTCCTTTACCCATTTTTGGATCTCAGTTTGTGGCTGAAGTTTAGAAGTCCTCCGTGTCCTCCATGTACTCTGTGTACTAATCCTTTATCAGATACGGGATTTGAAAATATTTTTTCCCATTTCATGGGTCGCCTTTGTGGTTGTGTCCTTCATTGCAAGAAGCTGTTTTTTATGACATTGAGGATTGAACAATGGCATTTACACTGAACTAAATCCTTAGCCCTTTTAATATATTACTTTTTAAATTTTGATAGTAAGTCACGAAGTTGCCTAGTTTTGGCTCAATCTTGCAATTCTCCTGCCTCAGCCTCCCAGATTGTCTAAATTTTGACATAGTCCAAAGTACCTATTTTTTCTTTTGCTGCCTTCACCTTTGGTGTCATATCAAGAAATCACTGCCAAATCTAATGTCCTGAAGCTGTTATACCGTGTTTTCTGCTGAGAGCTTTATAGTAGTAGGTCCTATGTTTTGATTTTTGGACCTATTATGAATTAATCTTTGTGCACGGTATGAAGTAAGGGTCCCGCTTCATTGTTTTGCCTGTGATGCCCAGAGCCCCCAGCCTTAGTTGTGGAAGAGACGGTCCTTCTCGTGCTCTCGTCTGGCCGCGTACACGCTGCTAGTCCCCACGTCGCTGCTCTGCTCCGCACTGGTCCTCCGGCCAGCGTCACAATTCGTGCTACTGTGGCTTTGCCGTGAGCCTTGAAATCGGGAAGCAAGAGTCCTCTATCCTCGCTCTTCTGAGAGGGGCTCGGCTTTTTAGGATCCCTTGAAATTCCATATTCATCTTAAGGTGAATTTTTCTATTTCCCTGAAAACTGCTGTCCGGACTTTGGTAGGACAGACGCCTGATCCCTGACGAGGGAGATCGTTCCACATCCACCTCCTTATCCCTCACTATTTCCTTCCTTTGCACGGTTTCCCTGTGTGATATGTGAGTGGGTGTGTGCACCTGCGTGTGTGGACACGAGGGCGTTTAGGGCAGTGAGTGTGTGGGGGTGGCCTGGACACGAGTGAGCACACGTGTGCACTGGGCCTGCTTCACATGGTGTTCTCCAGACGGCCAGGGCTGCTCTGGAGCTGAGCGGGGTGGGACAGCACTGGGCAGCGCAGCCCCGGGGGCTCCCACCGCTCAGGACAGGGGCTGAGCTAGGATTCGACGAGTACCACCCCACGTCAGTACTGCGCCACATGTCTCTGTGTGTCAGAAGCCAGGCTCCAACCACAGAGATGGGTGGCAGCTCTGAACTGCTACAGTTTCACCATCCTGGGTGTGTGCCTGTAATCTCAGCGCTTGAGAGGCTGAGGCAGGAGGATTGCAGTGTGCTCAAGGCCAGCCTGGGCTACGCAGTGAGTTCAAGGCCGTAAGACTTTGTCTCAAAAAGTTATTTTCACTGTCTTGAAGATCCTCAGCTTGTGGTCTCCATACATCCTGACAGAGAAAACCCAGGCTCAGGGACGTTAGGAGACACCGCTCTGTGTAGGAGCCTGGGTCAGTCGGCCTGGGAGAGCTGACTGCTGCCTGCTCAGCTGGGACCCACAGCCCCTCCAGGCCAGGGCAGGAGACCCTGGAGTGGAGTCTTGATTTAGCATGGGCTTGGCCTCGTCCCCTGGAGGCTGCCAGCCTGGAGCAGAGCCACCCCTGACTTTCTCCGTGGCCCACCCACTTTGGAGGAAGAACCTGCACTCTCAGGCCTGCGGCAGCCAGAAACCCTGGGCAAGACAGTCCACAAACCGGGGAGGCCAGCAGGGCGCAGGGTGCAGGGCTGTGTCCCCACCCTTCCCCACGCACCATGGGTGGGGCACAAAGTGTGGTCATAACCGTACCTGTGCCCAGCAATGGTGCTGCGAGAGCTGAGGCTACTCATTGGCAACGAGTCCACCAGGCCTCACCAGAATGTGGGCACGTGGGCCCCAGCACTGGTGCCAAGATGCCCAGATCTGCTTCTTTCAGCCTCTCTCTCTCTCTCTCTCCTGTCTTTTGAAGCAAAATCATGCTATGAAATTCTAGCCACCCTCCTGCCTCAGCCTCCCGGTCACTGGGCTTACAGTTGTGCACCACCACTCCAGCCTCAGTTTCTGCTTCTGTTCCCCACACCAGATAGCGGGTGAAGCCAGGGCTGGTCCTGCCTGTGCCAGCCACCCCGTCCTGCTTTCTAAGAAGGCTGCACCCTGAAGAACGCTCCGTGCCCGTGTGTCCCACCGTGGCACCTGTCAGGGTGACACAGGGCTCAGTGGAGACAGCTGGGTGGTGCTGCCCACACCAGCATCCTCACACAGCCACTCGCCATGCCTTGCCCGGCGTCAACCTCACCCCGGAGCCGGCGGCCCCAGGCGGTGGGTCACAGTGACGCACACTCGCCTGTCCTCCGTAGACACAGGCCTGTGTTTTCCACGAGCCTGTGCCGAGTGTGCGAGACAGAAACAGGCGTGGAAAGAAATAGCGAGAGGCCAGGAGGGAGGAGGCTGGGCAGGGCGGAGCCCCGTCCCTGCGCCATCTCCACAGAGATTTCTACCGAGGGCTCGCTGGACAGGGGCTGCCCATGTCCCCGTGCAAAAGAGGGGGTCACTGATGGGCCAGGAAGCAGAGACAGCAGGGAGGAGCCAAGGACAAGAACACCCCTTCTGGTCATGTCCCCCGTGACCCCCGGGCCCCACCTCCAGACCCAAGGCTTTGGGGCCCACTCCAGAGCTCCCTCTCCCTCCGTAGCCTCCTTTCCTCCCTGTGCTTCGTGTTCTGGGGCATGCTAAGCTCGTGCCCTACCGCTCGGCTACACCCAGCCTACACTCTGTTTCTAAATATGCTTTTTAATTTTAGGTGAGGATAGCGCTGAGTGTCCCCATACTGCCGTCCCACAGGGCCCGTTTGTGACCTTCAGCAACACCGCATTCTCCGGAGCTTACACCTTCTTCTGACATCCTTGGTTTCCCACACTGTCCTTTCCTGGTCCCAGACCCCGCCCAGGATACACATGACCTTTCACCTCCTCAGGCTCCGCCTAGCTGTGAGTTTCTCAGCGTCTCCTTGCTTTGACCTTGATGGCTTCAAGGAGGGCTTGTCAGGTGTTTTGCAGAATGTCCCAGAGAGGCCATCTGCTGCAGTCTGGGGTTTCTCATGGTGGGACTGAGCTGGGGTTCTGGGAGGAGTCCAGAGGTGACCTCCCACCCGCTCCCGTCCCGGGCACTCGTGCTGTCTGCCCGGATGGCCGCCGCAGTGCTGCCCAGGGCCCCCGGCTGTCGCACTGCTGTGCGCAGTTCTGCTGTAACAGGAGCTCGGGCTCCTTCCCCAGGTGTGTTTACCAGGCCCTGACTTAGGTCACTGTGGATCTGTGGCTTTAGGCTCCGGCCCAGTGCCACCCTCTCGTCACTGGACCCCTTCCAGCCCTGGCCGCTGGCCGCACCTGCCGTTCACTCCCAGGTCACTCTGCCCTGCCCTCCCACGTGGGAGGCTCTGTCTGGGTGCTGACCACTTCCGGTCCAGCACCAGCTGGGGCACTTTCTGCCCAGTCCTAGCACGGCCATTTCCCCCAGATCCTTGTTTCAGAGAGGGTGGCAGACAGCACGACCCAGAGCGGGGGTGCTTCCCAGTTCTCACGGCTGACGGAGCAGAGAGACACGCGTGTGTGGTGACCTGAGTGTGTGTACCTACGTGTGGATATTTTACACGCAGCTCTGTGTATCTTTGTGAGTTCACACTGCTGTCTCTGATGCAAACCTTTTACCGCTGGGATCATCCTGGATCCAATGCCTGCTCGTCTGCAAGCTCAGAGCTCCCTTCGCACAGGGTATCAGAAAGTTCCTGAGGCTTCACCGCACACAATCTTAAGGGCACTTTCCAATTTGAAGCCACAGGGTCTGCAGGATCTAAGCTCTGCTAGCTGCAACCCTCTAACTGCAGCCCTCAGGGTCTCTACCTCCCTCGCCCACACCCCCACCCCTGCAAGCACGTGGCCTCTGTGCTGGGCCTCTGTGCTGGGCTCCCTCCTGCCTAGGCCTCAGCAGGAGCCGCTCTTTTCCTGCTCACTCACCGCACTTCCTTCGGGCCACGCACTGAAGTCACTTCCTTTAGGCCACACGCTGAGGTGACTTCCTTGCACAAGCTCCTGGCCTTGTGGTCTCCAGTAGTGCATAGATCTGTGCTTTCCTCCAGTTATGCCTGCTTTTCTGTTCCACAGTCCTCACCTGTGTTTATCACCATGTTTTCAGAAAAAAGTCAACGAAGTGTTCCCCTTCGGGAGGTGCGAGGGAACCAGCTTACTCTGAGAACTGATACTTAGGGAGCAGCCTCAAGAATTTTCCCTGCTCATTCTGATGAACAGAGTTGATAAGAAAAAGTTCTTTTTTTTTTTTTTTTAGTACTGAGAGTTGAACCCAGGGCCTTTGCACTGAACTACATCCCCAGCTCTTTCTAAAAATGTTATTTCTTGAGATAGGCTCACACTACATTGTTAAATTGCCCAGGCTGGTCTTGTACTTATTTATAATCCTCCTCCTCAGCCTCCCAGAGTGCTGGGATGACAGAGTTGAGTTACATATCCTGCGAGAGTCAGTGAGAGTTCGTTATAGAAAGTTAGTTAGCCAATGAAGAAAGAGCAAGGGAATTAAATGTTGCTGTTTCACCCCTTCCGGAGCAGCGGCTGGTGTGGGCTGCCGCTCTAAAGGCTACTGAAGCGGGAGAGCAAAGCAGTGGGAGGCCTTCGGAGGGGCAGCGACCCTGCCTGGAGCCTGGAGCCTGGAGCCTGGAGCCTGGAGCCTGGAGCCTGGCCTGCGGAGGGGCCTGTGAGTTGGGCCGGTCGGGCTGGTCTGCGGGGCACGGGCCAGACCCAGAGCCTGCAAGCGCTCGGTCCTCCTCAGCCCGGGAATTGCAGTCTGTGAAAGACTACTGAAAGCCTTCAGGAGACAGCCAGGCGCTCTGAGTCCTGAATGAAGGAACCATTAGCCTTGTTTTGGGAAGTAATGGTGTCAATTCTTTTTTTTTTTAATTGTCACCCAGAGGTGCTACTGAACTGTGGATGGACAAAGTGACCGATTTACCTCAAAATAACCCAGTGGGGTGGGGTGGGAAGGGGCCCCCAGGCACCGTGGGGTGGAGACGAGAGGGTTGGGAGCTGCTCAGGGAGATGGACATGGGGTTTATTCCAGTCCTGTGCCATACTGTATTGCAAATTACCGATACAAAGTATGCGTACAAAGTTACTGATAGAAATGTATACTGATACAAAGTTAAAAACCAGTCCATCCATAGGATTCAAGCCTCAGGTAGACTTCAAAATGAGCAGGGCTGTAAGCTAGGAAGTTGCAAAAAAAAAAAAAGTGAAGGAAAGAGTGATATTTTAGAACGGGTCTGAGGGTGACTGAGCCATTTCCGAGGCAGGCAGGTACGTATGTGGATGTTTCGCCTGCGGTCGGGGAAGGGGAGATGGGAGCATCACTGGCCCTAAATCGGGGATCACAGTGTCACCGGTTTGGGGGATTCCGTTACTGTATCTTTATAATCAAATCCGAAATGGCGAAACCCAGTGTTTCCAGGGCCCCTTTACTGTATGTTACAGTTAAGAAATAACGCAGGGGAAGAGCAAGGCGCTCCTGGGCGTTCTGGCCTGGCCGCTCCTCCTGACTCCTCTGCTCCCCGCTGGGACTCTGAGGCAGGACGATGGCGGGTGGAGGCCCAGGTCGGAGGAATCTGAGTGTCACCCTGGGTGACTTTCTGGGGTGCTTGCCCCTTCCGGAGGCGGCGGCAGAGCCTCCCTCCCAGGTGCATCCTGGGGTCACAGCCGAGGGCGGCACCGGAACCTGCTGGCGTCACTCAGAGCCGCTGAGGACAGGACGGAATGTTCCCACTGCCGCCCAGCCCCAGCGTGGGAGCGGCTGCCCGGCAGCCCGCCCCCTCCTTTGTTTATTTGTTTGCTTAGGCTTTTCTTGTTTGAGTTACAGAAGTGCCATTGAAGAGGGAGTGCCCTGCGGCCGCCTGGCCACATGCTTAGTGGACGCTGCCAGCGGGACCCGCAGCCAGCGCAGGGTGGCACCGCCCGCCCGCCCCCAGCACCCAGCTGGCCCTGTGCAGTGCGTCATCTGCCTGGGTTTGCTTCTGCGTGACCTTGTGCAGGTAGAAGTCACATCCCACAAAGCTCACCTGTTCGGGGTGCACAGCCCCTTTTTGAATTTGTTCTTTGATGGGTCCGTGTCTGCAGTGTGTGACCATCACACTTGGGCTGCACCACGTAGCACACGCCTTGGTCCGCTTTACCGCTCCCCTCCCCTCCCTTCTGGGTCCTCTTCCCTTTGCAAAAGATCCACCTCCCCGCTTCCTGTCATCTGCCTTCAGTGTGCTCTTTAATTTATTTAGACTTTGGGTTTCTCATCTGAGACAAACTAAGCAATATCTAAGTTTCTGTGTCTGATTTATCCCACTTAACATCGTGGTCACGAGGTGCAGCCCGTGTTCCCACAAGTGACCCAAGTGTATCCTTCTTTCCGGCAGAGCAGTACTCCGTGGTGTGTAAATACCACATTGCCTTCATCTACTTCAGAACGTGGTTCTCTGTAGGCATCCTGTGCCTTCCCCGTTCATCCCCGTCCTGCCCTTTCTGTCTGTCATCCGCTCACCCAGACACTTGACAGGCGTGGACTCTCACGTGCCTGGCTTCTCTGCGTGTCTTTGAGGCCCCACTACATCGCAGTAGGCTTTGTGGCTTCCTCCGCTCCTGTGATCAACACTGTCCACTGCAGGGCAGGACCGTGCGCATCTGTCCATCCACTGGGAACAGACACGCATGTCCCTGCCTCCCGGCTGCTGCAGCACGTGAGGCTTCCGATGCTGAGTTTGTCCCGAGGGTGAAGAGGCAGGAGCCAGTTGCGCCTGAGGAGTGCGTTTCTGGAGAGATTGGCAGCGTCCGTGCAGGCTCCAGAGGGACGGAGTCAGTGAGGACAGGGAGGGAGTGAGTTCCCGCTGGTGTCCCCCAAGCTCCCGTTGCCACCAGGCTCCTGCTTTTTATCCTGAGGGACTTGGACCCCTCAGTTTTACAGGATGGTCTCAGCTGGGATCCCCCAAGAGCAGGGCTGAGCCGGGGCTGAGGGCAGGTGGGTTGCAAGTGGGTGAGTAGGTCCCTGGGGCGTCTCTGGGGCTCGGCCCTGCACCCCCACCGGGATCGGCCCTCCGAGGGGGAGGGGAGGCTGGGCCACTCAGTGAGGGACCCTTCCGGCTGAGGGTGAGACAGACGACGACACAGTCCTGTTAGTACTGGGGACACATTCCCAGAAGTTTGGGACTTGGTGGCTGCATTTCTGCACGAATATTACAGCACGCATGTACCCAGACAAGATGGCTACAGGGTCAACTTTTTCCAGTATTTCCTTCACAGTGACTTTCACATCCCCAGCCCATTTATACTTTTTTTATTTTGAGACAGGGTCTTGCTAGATCATTCAGTTACCCAAGCTGGATTCGAAATTGTGATCCTCCTGCCTCAGCCTCCCAGAATGCTGGAATTACAGGTGTATAGGTGATATGACCTTAAGGGACCAACCTGGTCCTCACCGCTGTCCATGGTCAGATCATCATGCAGCAGGCGATGGGGCCATTGGGTTCACAGTAGCAGAGGACACGGGGCTTCTGTGAAAGCGCCCGGTGGTGACTCATGTCCTGGGCAGCACAGGATGGTGTCCTGGGCCAGCAGGTACAGTTCAGGGCTCACTGGAGCCCGGGGCAGCAGGGAAGGGAGAGATGGAGATCAGAAAAGGGGAGTAAGAGATGGGAGGGAGCGGAGCTGGGCTCTGGGTGTCCCCTGCCACCTGGGCGGTGGGCTAGGGTGGCCCAGGAAGCTTGGGGTGGGGGCTGTCCAGGCTACACTGAGGAAGGTGACAGACTCTCACGGGACCCCAAACGCCCAGGCATAGGTGTGGGGTATGTGCGGCCAGCAGGCAGCAGCCGGGCAGTGGGCACGCACCACGCCCTGGATCAGCACACGCTCCAGCTCGCCTTCAGAGTCGCATGGGTCAGTAAGAGCCCCTCTGCCCGCAGCAGGATGGACAGGGCCCACTCACTGAGGGCTGGAGCTGGCAAACTGGTGAGGATGTCCCCAAGGCTGCCCCGTGGTGCCACTTTCCAGCTGGCACACGCCCTCCAGTGGCAACCCCTGTGCCCTGCTTGGCTCTGGCCCCTGCCTGTCAAAGGCCATGTCCAGTGGCCTGGGCCAGGCTGAGGGGTCTGCGGGCCTGGGTAAGTGGTCGCTTAGAGAATCCATGGTCTGTGGCTCCAGGCATGCAGGGTGCCCTCGCCAGCTGGGCTTGTCACTGGCGGCCCTGAGTGTGGGGGCCTCTCAGCTTCCAGTTTCCTGTCCCTCAAGGGGGTGACATGGGCTTTTCTGCAGCTGCTGGCAGGAAACGTCGACTCTGCCATCAGAACAAGAAAGTGGGGCTCCAGGCTGCCCTGGTTGGGGCCTCTCCTCTGTCCTTTGAAGCCACCGATACTTTCATCCAGCCACTGCCAGGTCCTGAAACAGCACAGGGGTCACGAAGCTGAGGCCAGCGTGGGCCCGGGGGTGGGGTGCTGATCTTGTCACTAAAGGTTCCCAGGGACCCATCTAGAAATGAGGGGCCAAGACCAGGGAGGAGGATGGAGGCCCACACTTGTGCACACCACGCCCGAGGGGGGACCCATTCGCTGAGGCCCCCAACACCCCACACCACTTTCTCAGGAGTAAGGCCCCGACCTCAGGAGATTCCCCAGTCCATCTCAGTGGAGACAGGCAGAAAGAACACAAGGAAATCACAACTAAAACTTGTACTTTTAAGAAGACTCAGGCTGGGCTGTGATCCAGCACTCAGGAGGCTGAGGCAGGAGAGTCGTGGAGCATTCAAGGCCAGCCTGGGCTCAAATAAAGAAAAGGCTGCAACTTCCAGGACCAGTCAGAGTGGCCCATGGTGTCTACGTCAGCATTCCCTTGGTTAATTTAGGCTCCTTTCCTTCCAGACCTGTCGTGCCCAGCACCCTTAGAAATACTCAAAGCCTGTCAAGTTGAGAGAGTAAAGAGCAGGGGCCTGAACCTAAGATAAAAGGAGCAAGTTGAGGGGTGGCTTCGGACCCCTTGGTGACCCTGGGGTCCAGGGGGTGTGGACAGGTAAGGACCAGAGCCGCGCTGTGTGTGTGCTGTTCCGGCCAGGGCAGCAGGCTTTTCTTGGGCAGACGGATGGGTGGGTGAGCTGTGCCCACGGCCTCCCTTTGCTTTTCGAGATCGGATGCCTGGCATCTTTTGGGCCACAGGTGCCGAAATTTAATGTTTGCGATAAAGCCGTAGAACACAATCGTTTTCTGTTGAGGACGGCCTCCCCTGTCCTGGAAATGGGAGGCCGAGCCATTTGGAACATTCAAATCCCCTTTGGAGGGCGGAATCC